CCATCCATCTGATACTCTCTTATTCTGCTTGGGTATTTTTGCATGTGCACATATGTATCATACCTATAATAACAAAACTATTTTTAAAACTAGCAAAATAGGGCCCCTAGGAGAGCATCAGGAACAGTAGAGGGGGAAAGGGGGAAAGAAAAACAGGAAAAGAAGGCACATTGTGTTGAATAATATCCTCCCAAATTGATATCCACCCAGAACTTCAGAATGTGAGCTTATTTGGAATTAGGATCTTTGGAGAGATAATTAAGAGGAGGTCATGCTGTACTGATGTGGGCTCTAATCCAATGACTGCTGTCCTTATAACACACACACACACACACACACACACACACACACACACTCACAGAAGAATGCCATATGAAAATGGAAGCAGGGATTGGAGTGATGCTGTAAAAGCCAAGGACTGCCAGCACCCACCAGAGGCTGGAAGAGGCAAGGAAGGATTCCCCCTAAAGCCTTCAGACAGGGCATAGCCCTGCTGATCCACTGGCTTCAGACTTCTAACCTCCAGAACTGTGAGAGAATAAATTTCTGCTGTGTGAGGCCACTAGATTGTGGTACTTTGTAACAGCAGGCCTCAGAAATAATATAAGAAGGGGAGTAGGGTGGAGGCAGCCAGGCAGAGAAGGCTAGTGGGCTCTGAGGGCGCAGTTGTGAGGACTAGGCGTTAATCAGATGTAATCACTAAACCAGTATTTACGGAGTGCTTGCTCCATACCAAGTTTTATAAAAGGAACTGAGAAAGCTCTTTCTCCTTCAGTCATTGTTGTTCCGTTTGGACTGAGGTGTGGATATTTCTGCCCAGTTGCCTCCAGATTCCCAGACTTGCTGGAGTGTGCTGCAAAGTGTCTCCCTGCATGCTCCTCCACTGGAGCCCTGGGGGGAAAGGGTACCCTTGGGCAGGGGGCCCTGGCTTATTATCTCAGCAGCTACAGGGGTCGAGCCAACAAACTCTGGCTCCTGCCGGGGGCAGGCTCCTGCTGTCTGCTTTCCAGCCGGGTGTCTGCTCTTTGCTCTCTGATCCCCCCTCCTGTTTGGCCCTCTGGCCCCTGCTGGCTGGGTCACTGCCCCCTGGCATCCTCACTCTGAAGCCAGCGACCCTGCTGGGCCATTCGCAGGCATAGCCTAGTAGGGGTGGAGGACAGATGTTAGTTCCTTGCCCCTCCCCAAAACACACACATATGCTCAATGTGTACCAGTGCTCTGGGAAGAGGCTCAGGCAGAGAGAGTAATGGAGGAGAGGAGCTGCAGGCTCTAGGGGGATGTAAATGGACTGGGCGATATGTATGTGTGGGTGTGTGGGTGGGTGTGTGTGCACATGCGAACGTACTGGGGAGACAGACAGTGGCAGTAATCCGTGTGGATTGGGGGGAGGTTTGTCCTCAGACTGCCCTCCTGGGCAATTACATGCCAGCAGCTTCATCTACTACCAGCTGGCATGCAGGCTTTGGACCACCAAGAAGCCTCCTATACAGCCCCCAGCTTGGTCACTGAAAATTCCCAGCCACATTCTCTGGCCTATGTGCTGGCCCTAGGCCAAGCAAGCTGGCCTGGGGTAACTACTCTCTCCCTCAACACACATACACACACACACACACACACACACACACACACCCACACACACTCCCCCTAGATACCATAACGCTATCAGAACAAACTTCTTTCTCCATAGGCTTAACTTTCCCCAACCTCCCTGCCTGCTGCTACTCTCTCTTCTGTCTGCTAACTTCCAAACTTCCTTTTCTCTTCCTTACCTTACACTTCCTTTTAAAGTGCAGACTCTAAGGGCACCTGGGTGGCTCAGTCAGTTGAGCATCTGACTTCAGCTCAGGTCATGATCTCAGAGTTCGTGAGTCTCAGCCCCACATTGGGCTCTCTGCTGTCAGCACAGAGACTGCTTTGGATCCTCTGTCTCCCTCTCTCTCTGCCCCTCCCCCCTCTCAAAAATGAATAAACATTAAAAAAAAATAAAGTGCAGACTCTATTACTGATAAGTCTCTGGAAAAGAAGTAGTCTCCTGACACAGTAGAAGGGATGGGCCCAGAACTCGACTCTGATTCTTTTTTCAGCCTAAGGTGGAAACTTACAAATGAATTGAATGGATCCCTACACAAGGGCCCTGTGATTGCAATGCACACATAGTGTTTTAGATGCTACACAAGCACCTACAGTCTACAAGTCAGGAAATGGAGGTAGAGTTACTTACTCTCTCTACGTAAGAGGTAGAAGCCAGAGTTTAGTATTTTGTGGGAGGAGAGGGGCGGCCAGTGAGGAGACAAATAGGAGGCAAACTCCTTCTATAATGGCCTCTGGAAATAGCCCAGAGAAAAGTTTACTTGAAAAGGTGCAGGGCCAGTTTTCATGCTGCCCCTTTGACTTTAAGTAAAGAAAGGAAGGGAGAGAGTGGGCTGCAGGACTGGAAGGTGTGAACCCTGCTGGACCTTCTCTGTCTTTTCTCTGGGTTCTAGGGTTCTAGGAACACTTGGGCAGGGGGAGGGAACTTAGACTTGGGAGGTATTTGTTCTCCAGTATATCCCCAGTTGAGTATTCACCTACTTTTTGTCATTAGGTCTGAGTTGGTTTAATGGGAGAGAATTCTGGAGATACAGAGAAGTACAAAGGAAGGAAAGAACAGAGAGAAACAAGAAGAAAGGTGTGGATAGGAAAAAGAATGTACCAAGAAGGGGTGAGATGTAGAAGAGGAATGGGAGATTCAGGCTAGGAGGGTCCCGGAAAGGAGAGTGGCCCCACTATTTGTCAAACCTCCAAATCAGGATGACAGGGATTAGGAAGCAGCCTCGCCCATGGGCTGAATTGCAGCCTCCGCTCAGGGAACCCTGAGCAAATACGCGCTGATCCCCACATAAAGGGCCAATTAACTGCGCTGTCTCTGGGAACAAATCCGCTAACAGGGTGACAAGCCCCTAGACGCTGGCAGGCGCTGTGTTTGCTGAGAGGCCGACAGGGAGCAAATCAGGGGATTAGGATGGGGCAGGAGCCACATGGCAGGATGCAGTTTCCTGTCTGCTGCAACCCTCCACGCCCCACAGCAGGGCCAGGTGCCAGGACCCCGGATTTCTGTCCTGCCTTAGCCCTGGTGTGATGGAACCTGGGTGACCCCAGTCAGCAGGAGGCAGAGCAGAGGGCCCCCAGCCAGAAATCTGAAGCATCAGAGCAGAGAAAGTAGTACAATTTCTCCTTAACAGATGAGGAAATTGAAGTCCAGAGCGATGGTGTCTTCTAATTGGCATATATGGGATCGGAACGCATTTCTGGGCTGGTCATTCCTGAACGGGTTGATTTCTGGTGAGGGAAACCTATCCCTTAGATTCTATCTTACCTGAATGCAGCCTGGCCCTGGGGTAAGGGGCAGGCGTCATATCCCATCGTTTAGTATCCTGGTGCTTTAGAGAGAATGTGTCGCTACCCCCTCTCTCATCTACCCCAACTCATTTCAGCCTCATGGTCTGCTCGGATTTAAGCCATTTGTGGGGCGCCAGACCGCAAGTTCAGCACGGGCAGAGGAGGTGCTGAAAGAACAGCTCCCAGGGCGCTGCCTCCCACAATTCTGTCTCCGCGCCCCAACCCCCACCACCCCCACCACCCCCACCACCCCCACCACCCCCAGCACCTTTGCTTCCGGCTTTGCTAAATTCAGGGCAAAGCTGACTCGAGAGGGCAGGAAGATACCTAAACACCTGTTACTTTGTTAGTTTGAGGCCACAGGGGCCAGCGTGTGGATTGAGGGTGGAGTTTTGGAACAAGCCTTTGACAAAGTCTCTGGTTCACTGGAGCGCTGCCTGCCCGAATACTCCAACTCTTGAGTGTGCTTACTGTGGAGCTCTACGACCGTATAGCAGACGCCTCTCTGGATCTCGACCTGTTCACCTAGCCCCTCCCAGGTCAGAAGCAGCGACCCCACTAAGGTGATCTCATCATACAGAAACTGATGACTGAGCTAGAACTCCACCACTCAGCCATCAACACGACCTTACCCCAGATCGGAAGCCCCCGGTCTCTCTTCCCTTGACACCCCAATGCTATCTCCAGCCTAGGAAAGTGAGCGAGTGTGTGTGTACACGCGCGAGTGGACGGGTGGGTGGGCGGTGGGGGACTAGATCTTCAGGTAAAAAGAACTGCAGAAAATTCAGAAGCAGTCCGGACGGAGGAGAGGGGATCATGGTTTCTCCCCACGGCTCCCCGTGGGAAAGACCGTTATCAGGATGTGCACGAGTTTTGCATCAACCCCTCCTCTTTTCTTGAACTTGCCTTTACAGAAACAATGTTGCTCTCTTTGTCTTTGTCCTGGACTATCTGATTCATTCAGTCTCCTCAAGAAGGTAAAACAATTTAATAGACAATGTCAGAGCACAGTAATGCAAAAGTATGCAAATCGATGCCAGAGGTATGCATATAGCTGTTAAATGCCTGGGAGCCTGGGGCTCCGCCCCCCCTCCGGTTTTATCCTTGTTCTTAGCCTCCTGCAAGAACTAGTAGATTAGAGCGTCTGAAGCAGGACTCCGGTTCAAGACTCGGCACCTTGTCCCCTGGCCTCTCGGCTGCCAAACGGGCGGCCGCGGGGTAAAGGGGTGGACGTGCCATGCAGTTATTCCCCACCCACTCCCAACTTCCGCTCCAAACCACCCCAGCCTCCAGCACTGCGCCGCTAAGACCCCGGACTTGGGAGGAAATGAAAGCCAGGGCTTTGACAGCCAGGGGAGTGTTCTTGCTCTTTTGCCTAAGGGCCGTTAAAAGAGAGATGGGATTCTTGTTTTAAAGTCAGTCATAAGGGCAGAGTCCGACAGAGCCTCGCCCCTCATCTTGGCTGCTTTGAGAAAGGAGGGAAACTCTCCTGCGGTGTCCAGAACCCGACCCAGGACGCGGGGCGCGGGGCGGGGACTCCAACTTGCGCGCTACGCAACTCTAGTCTCTGGCCCTGCTAGTGGCCATCCGGGTGGGGATGGGAGGGTGGAAGGAGGCGGATTAATCCCTTAATTACGCCGTGATCGGCGTGGCACCTGCTTTCCGCCCGCCCAGCTCCCGGGGGACCCCGGCACTGGGGGGTGGAGAGAAGGACGAGGGAAGGAGGAGGGCACGCGGAGGCACGCACCGTACCCAGGCGCGCCGGCAGGAGAGCGGCACCGTGGCTGGGGCAGTGCGCAGAGGCTGTGGAGGGGCTTTCGGCTCCCGGCCCGCGGGTCTCAGACCCAGGGGCTGGGCCCCGAGCCCCCCGCCCCGGTCCCAGTTGGGTCGCGCCATGCTGCGCTACCTGCTCAAAACACTGCTGCAGATGAACTTGTTCGCGGACTCCCTGGCGGGGGACATTTCCAACTCCAGTGACCTGCTCTTCGGCTTCAACTCCTCGGTAGCGGCGCTCAACCACAGCCTGCTGCCCCCCGGCGATCCCTCTTTCAACGGTAAGACCTTGCTCCATGGGGACCTCAGATCAAGGGATGGTGTAAGGTGGGAGGGCGTCGTGGAAGGGGAGGTCAAAGAGCTCCTGTCCCGATAACTGGGACCAAGGGGCGCCTCCTAGCGCCTCCTCCGGGTTGGGGACCAGGGGATAATTTGGAGCTTCTAGCACCCGAGTGGAGGTATCGACGGAAGATCGAGGGCTTGGGAGGAGATGGCTGCTAAGTCCGTTGCTCTCCACCTGCCCCATCGACCGCCACTGTCGCCCCAAGTGAGGAGAACCGTGGCTGGTGACGGGCAACTACGGAGCTTAGAGTGGCTGGGACCCACTGCAGAGAGGGCAGAGGAGGGAACGCGGTGGCCAAGCCGCGCCACTTAGTGACTCACCCAGGTAGCAAGTTTTCCTTCGGGACCCTAAGTTTTCCAAGAGCTCACTTAGGATTAGGGTGAGGAGGCTAAAATGTTGGGTGTGTTTACTACAGAGGGCGACAGACGCCGAGACCGTTTTAGGGAAACTCAGAAGTTTGCCCCTCAGAGGTGGAACTCACCCCGGCCCACCCCGCGGAACTGCGGCGGGCTGGCTGCGCCGGCGGCGAGGTCGTTACCGCTAATTACGGTGATTAATAAATGACTAGACAGCGCGCTCGCCCCTAGCGCGGCGGGGAGGCGGCCAGAGTTGATCTCCCGGAGTCTGGGGAGAGGCCCGATCGCGCCCCCTGCGAGCGGTGTCGGGAATCCCCCGCTTTCCCGGACCTCTTTGCGGGTGATTTCCCCCGTGGTTCCTCCCCAGTCCCCATCCCTTGACATCCACCCACTCGAATCTAGGGGCAGCACGGTCCTGGAAACTCGAAGATGACGGTAAAGGAGACCTAGACAATGTGCATGTGTTTGTGTCTGGGGTACTCCAGGTGCTGGGGGAGGAGCCCCAGAGCGCTATTAGCATGATCATTAGCTATTCATTAGCTGCTGTCTGAGCCTCTCCTGAGACCGGGAATGACAGGGAAGAAATTCCAGGGAAAGGGCGCCTGCAGCTGTGTCTACAGGAATTAGGGGGAAAGGGCCGACCAGAAGGGTGTGGTATGTACACGAAGGAGCAGGGACGAAGAAAGTGGAAATGAGCCGGAGGTCTCCAAATTCCTGACCCGCTGTAGATTCCCAGGAGGGTAGGCGCAGAGAGAGCCCTTCTCACAGACGCCCCAGACACACCTCCGTTCCCCCAGCGCTCTTAGGGTGTAGGCTCCACCATACACTGCCTCATTCAAGCTGGAAAATGTAAGGAGGTTTGTAGGGAAGGCGTTGATGGCCACATTTTGCAAGTGAGGAAACAAATTCAGAAAAGATGAAAAGACCCCAGGGGTCAGAGAAGCAACATAAAGCTTAGCAATAACAAACCTATTTCCAGTACACTCTAATGATTTGTGAAGGGGAACGAGGGATATTGGGGCCTGTTAGAATCTGAGTCAGGTATAGACTATAGTAGCCAAGATAAGCTAAGGTAGGCCAGGGAGGGAGAGCCCTCAAGTCATCACAGAATTGACATATATATTGAGCCTTCCCTCAATTGCTTTACATATATTATGATCTGAAGACAACCCTGTCACTACTCCCATATTTAAAATAAATAAACTGAGACTCAAACAAATTCAATAATTTGCCCAAGTTCTTGCAGCCAGGAAGTGTCAAATCTGAGATCCCAGCCCTACTTGGTTCCAGGACGACCCCTGAGCTCTTCACCACTCTAGTGTCGCTCAGGATGGAGGTCTGTCTAAACCGGACAGGGACGAGGTGCAGGGGAAGAGACGACCGAGAAGCAGAGATCTCCATTTGGAAGGAAGCAACCGGAGAAAAATTACTCCCTTCCCTAAGTAGGAGGGACACTAATCTGGTCCTAGCCAGTTAAATAAATTCTCCCCGGGACAATACCAGCATGGGGCCACCTCCTTCCGGCCTAGTCTCCATAAGAACTTCTCAGGGTAGGGGTCGGGAAATGAAACCCGATCCCACACGAAGCGTGAAGCTACAGGGAGGTCCCTGCGGATTTTGGAACAGAGTGGGAGGGGCGCGGGCGGGGAAGGGTAAGGTAGAGAACAGAAGCGGGGATAGTCCCTGGTTATCGGAGGACACCAAATCACGCGAGGCAGCAGCGGCGCCTACTGGCCGCCATGGGTTACGAATCCACTTCAGGAGAAGCTGGAAGTGTCTGAGCCTAACGGGTTCCAGGATCCTGGATCCCAAGGCAAGTGCAGAGGATGAAGCCAGCAGAAGTCTGTAGGCCAAGTGAGAGGCAGGAACAGAACATCCAGGTGAATGGATCTGATGAGACAGGAAGGAGAGGAATCCCCTTCCCAGTGGTTCTTAGCCTCTATCCGTCGATCAACCTGTAGAATAATCTGTTGAAAACTTTGCACCTCTAGAAAAGGAGCCACTACTAACATTTTCACTACCATTTTCACTCAAGTCCTGTGACTCTACAGGTTTTTCCAAGCATGATTGTCTGGGGTGTCAGTAAGAGGGGCACCTGGCTGGCTCAGTTGGGAGAGCAGGTGACTCTTGATCTCAAGGTTGTGAGTTGGAGCCCCATGTTGGGCATTGAGTTTACTTAATAAAAAAATTGTTTTTTTTTTTTTAAGAAATGAAAAAGAAGAAAAAGGGCTCCATGTCCATTCATGGGCTCCAGGTTAAGAACCCCTTCTAGTCCAGTCTCTAGTCGGATCAGTCTCCTCTTACCTTTCCTAAGGGAGGGACTCCAGGCTTGTCCCCATTCTCCATTTTTATGACCCGCAGCCATGCAGAGGGCCAAGAAACAAGTGTTAGCTCTGGTGCAGGTCTTCAGGGGCAAGGACAATCTGAAAACCAGTGAGGGTGGGAGACTGAATAACAGTGGGCTGTCACTCAAACTTGGCCAGAGAGAAGGCTAGTGTCTGTCTTTGGGCAGCCTAGAAAGCCAGCCTAGGAGTTGGTGTCCTGATTCCTCTACCGATCTGCCTGTTTGTAACGTGTGTCCTCACCAGCCCAAGAACGTGGGAGTGCCTTCCCAGAGGAGACAATGGACCCTACAGAGAAAGGGTGGGCAGGGTGGGCAGGAGTGGTTATTTTTCTCTCTGGAGCCTCAATCTCTCCCCTAATTTCCCGGTCTAAATGCTCTGTGCCAACACCCCTACTCTTAGCGTCAAGGGTCGAGCCGGAGGACGCGATGCCGCGCATCGTGGAGCAGCCGCCTGATCTGTTGGTCTCCAGAGGCGAGCCGGCCACTCTGCCCTGTCGCGCGGAGGGCCGGCCCAGGCCCAACATCGAGTGGTACAAGAATGGGGCGCGAGTGGCCACTGCGCGCGAGGACCCGCGCGCGCACCGCCTGCTGCTGCCCAGCGGGGCACTCTTCTTCCCGCGCATCGTTCACGGGCGCCGCGCGCGGCCCGACGAAGGTGTCTACACTTGCGTGGCGCGCAACTACCTGGGGGCAGCGGCTAGTAGAAATGCCTCGCTAGAAGTGGCAGGTGAGAGTCCGCACTGTCCGCTGATTGCTTCCCCAGCCTAGGGGAGGCGGGAGGGTACCAGATAATCCGATCCAGAACCAGCCCGATCTCAGCTCCTTCAACATCTTCTTTGGAGACCGTGACCTTTGGTCTCTAACATCCATGCCTTGACCGGAGGGAGGAAGTGGCCCTGGTATTTTGGCCCCTGGGCAAGAGTTCCCGTCTGCGGTGATACAGCCCTCCCCAAAACAATTGCCTTGTGTCTTAACCCAGTTACTCCTGTTTATTCCCCTGGTCATTCATTCTCACTGTCTCTTTGTCTCTGTCTCTGTCCTTGTCTGTCTGTCTCTCTTTACAGTCCTCCGTGATGATTTCCGGCAGTCTCCTGGGAACGTGGTGGTGGCAGTGGGGGAGCCAGCGGTAATGGAATGCGTGCCCCCCCGTGGCCACCCGGAGCCTTCCGTGTCTTGGAAGAAGGACAGTGCAAGACTCAAGGAGGAGGAGGGAAGGATCACGGTGAGGAGGCGTGCCCTGGCTAGGGATCTGACTAAGGGCCAGGGCCAGAGCCATCATGAGAGGTGGAGCCACAGGTTAGGGGGTTGGGTATGTCTCAAAGGAGGAAGCAGTGAATCTCAGGGTCTTGGAGGGGCGAGGAATAATGTCTTAGATGTGGTAAGGCAGGAGATTTAAGGTCAGGGTATCAGCTGACCAGAGGCTGAGAGGCAGCTATTAAGTAAGGGATAAGTTAAGGATGGATAGGAAGAAACTGGTATGAATTAGGTGGGGAGCAAGATGCCCCAGGGACTTGTGGGAGGTGGTTTGGGCTGTGGGAACAAACACAGACCTGAGCCCCACCTTGGGTAAATCACTTAAGGATTCCTTATCTGATAAGTGAGTCAACTTTACAGGTTTTCATTAGTTTACTAGGAGGATCAAATAGATAAATATACTTTGATGGTTACAAAAGACCAAAGTTACCATTATTACTCTGCAGATTCGTGGAGGGAAGCTGATGATGTCACATACACTCAAGAGTGATGCAGGGATGTATGTGTGTGTGGCCTCCAACATGGCAGGAGAACGGGAGAGTGGGGCAGCCGAACTTGTGGTCCTGGGTAGGCACAGGGAGTTTGGGGATTATGCGGGTGTGCAGCCTGGGCAGTAAGAAGCTGTGCAGATCCCTTGATGATTCACTCCTTCCCGATCCATAGAGCGACCCTCATTCCTGCGTAGACCTGTGAATCAGGTGGTCCTGGCAGATGCCCCTGTGGATTTCCCATGTGAGGTGCAAGGAGATCCGCCACCTCGTCTAAGATGGCACAAGGAAGATGGGGAACTACCCACAGGCAGGTGAGAAGCCCCCTCCTCCTGCCTGTAAGGAGACCCAACCACTCAAGAGCACACCCTGCCCTAGAAAAGGGACAGGCAGACACCCTCTCACTCGACAGCTCAGAGAAATCTGTTACCCTGGAGCCTGTGGCCCCTCCCCTCTCCAGTCCCCAGCTCCTTTTATGGGTCCATGGGTACCAGCCTCTGTCCCCGTTGAGGCCTACCTTGTCTTTACGTACCCTGATCCTGGTGTCTGTCTGGGGGAGAGAGAAGGGGTCTCTAGCTGTGGCCAACCCATTCTGGGGGTGGGGAGTGGAGCAGGTATGAGATCCGGAGTGACCACAGCCTTTGGATCGGGCGTGTGAGTGCGGACGATGAGGGGACGTACACCTGTGTGGCTGAGAACAGCGTGGGCCGTGCCGAAGCATCTGGCTCCCTCAGTGTTCACGGTGAGGGCCGGCCTGGGACTGTCAGAAGCAGGGATGAAATGAGGGACCAGGGAGGATGGGATGAAGAGGAGAATGAGGGACAAAGGACAGAATGGGAGATATGGTGGTGGTGGGGCATCCCTTGACACTTCTAGAAGGAGAGAGCTGAACAGGCTGGAACAAGAGATGGATATCTGCTCTTACTTAAGCCAAGCTTGGGCTTCTCTCTCCTGTTCCCTCAGTCTCCCTTCTGAGTACCCTGACTCCCTGTTCCTTTATCCCCTCCCCCTTCCCAGTCCCTCCCCAGCTGGTCACCCAGCCCCAGGACCAGATGGCAGCTCCTGGAGAGAGCGTGGCTTTCCAATGCGAGACCAAAGGAAACCCCCCACCTGCCATCTTCTGGCAGAAGGAGGGAAGTCAAGTAGGTGGCCAGCTGCATGGTGGGCCTTCCCACAATCTTCTCCTCTGGGTCTTAGCCTCCCCGCTTCTGTATTCTCTGCACACTTCTCTCTGTTTTACCTTTGGTCCTCCCAGAAACCCTTGCAGGTTATTTGGGTGGGTCAAATAAGATAATGAATATAAAAGGGCTAGCTAACATACCGAACACTTAAAAAAAAAAAAAAAACAACCTGATAATATGTTTAGGTGAAAGGAAATAGTCCTGTATGGTAATTCCTTGGAGAATCCTTCTATTTTAGGCAAGGCTGCCCTGAGGATGTAGCACATCCACTTGGATGCCTCCTCTCCCAGACACCTGGGGTCTGGGCTTTAATATGCTGCTCTGGAAAGTGTGTACTGTACCAAAGCTGTTCAGCCAACAGCATTACTTGCTCATCATTTTACAAGGGACTTCCACCAGGGGGAGCTCACAGGCACCCCTCTCCAATCTTCGCAAACAAATTGCTGATTGCACAACAGGAAGGAATATTAACTGAAGTTACAACACCAGTCCCGCCCACTAGGTGAAAGGTGGGCATTTTGCTCCTAGGAAGCAGGGTCAGTATAATAAAATAAGTCTGCCTAACTCCACCTCCCTGGAAAACCAGCTCTCCCACTACCTCATTTCAAATCCACAGCCACAATTTTCCAATATCTTCTCTAGCATCTGGGATTGCTGTATTTTAAATGAATAAAAATGCTGGTGGTAGTAGAGGGTGGGAGTAGGTATCCATCAGGGGATCAGCCTGGTGCCATTTACCTGTGACCCAACCACCTTCCCTACCTTCCATGTATCTAGGTAACGTAAAATGTTAAAGCCAGAAAGAAGGGGAAAGTTTTTGACAATTATCACACAATGCATTAAAAGATTTTCATATGTTTAATCATTTAATCCTCATGACTATCCTCATGACTATCAACTTTGTGGAAACTGGGGCTCAGGAAGGTTAAATATGTTGCTCAGAGTTTCCCAACTAGTAATCACAAAGCTAGGAAGTGCACCCCAATATCATCTCATAAAATTTCCACATTTTTGTGAGTCAATCTAACTATTTTGCCCAAGGTCATATAACTGGCTGGGGACAGTATGAACTAGAACCTTAGGGATTCTCTGAATTCGGGGGTTGATGGGAATGGGGATCTCTCTGCCAGCTGCCTGTTCATTCCTTATCTCGGTTCCTTGCTTTGTCCACAGGTCCTGCTTTTCCCCAGTCAGCCACTTCAGCCCAAGGGGCGCTTCTCAGTCTCTCCCAGAGGCCAGCTCAACATTACTGATGTGCAGAGTGGGGACGCTGGCTACTATGTGTGTCAGGCTGTTAGTGTGGCCGGCAGCATCCTGGCCAAGGCCCTGTTGGAGGTAAAAGCAGGTAAGTGCTCATGGAGAGAGGCCTGGCCCCATGGCCTGGAAGGAAATCATGGCTTAAGGACATCTGTTTTTCTTGGGTTCTGTATCATATGTCTGCAAGGGGAGGGGCGTGTTCCTGAGACATGGCCTTGAAGTTAGGAAATCAGCTACAGAAGCCAGTAATAGATGGCTGGTTCCAGGCAGAGACTACAGACGGTTATCGAAACCCTTCCAATCTCCAGGGGAAGGAGGGCTGAAGGAGCAGAGAAGGAGGACAAGGGGCTGGTTTCCTGAACCCAGGATCCTCTCCTGAGGTGCCCAAGTTCTTCCTCTCTCAGCCTCCTCCTTGGACGGGCTGCCTCCCATCATCCTCCAGGGACCAGCCAATCAGACGCTGGCACTTGGCTCCTCTGTGTGGCTGCCATGCAGAGTGACTGGGAACCCTCAACCTAGCATCCAGTGGAAGAAGGACGGGCAGTGGCTGCAGGGGGACGACGTGCAACTCAATCTAATGGCCAACGGTACCCTGTACATCGCCAGGGTGCAGGTGAGTCTCACCCCTGGGCCCCGAGTAACCGAGAATGGCCACACAGTCCACATGCCCAAATCTCGGAAGTACCCTCTGGGACTAACTCCATTTCTACTCCTCTGCTTAGACTGCCTAAAGTGTACAATGCCCTCACCACCCTTCTGTATACCCACCGCCACCCCCTTGCCCTACCTTGATCCACTCTGTTTGCCAGTCCTCTCCCCTCTCCCGCAGGAGATGGACATGGGTTTCTACAGCTGTGTGGCCAAGAGTTCCACAGGGGAGGCCACATGGAGTAGCTGGCTTAGGAGGCGGGGTGAGTTTTGTCTGTCCCCTTGCTTTGCCAGCACCTTCATCCAAACCTGCTTCGAAGGTACTCAGTACCTCCCTGAGCCCCAGAACTGATTTATCTTCCAAATGCCACGGCCATGGTGGTGAGGAGGAGCTTGACACAAGTGATGCCCTTGGGAGGCAGATGTGAGGAGGGGTCAGTTCAGTAACCACGTCCCCGTCTCCACCATTACCAATGCCACAGCCCCAGAGCTTCTCTGGGAAGGAGGCTGGTGACGCAGGTGCCGTCCCTTTCCCATCCTTCTACTGAAAGATTATCGCCTCACTGCAGAGGACTGGGGAGTTTCATCAGAGCCCCCTACGGAGCCCAGTACCCCTCCAGGGCCTCCCTCTCAGCCACTGGTCACTGAGATCACCAAGAACAGCATTACCCTGACCTGGAAGCCCAACCCGCAGGCGGGGGCCACAGTCACCTCTTACGTGATAGAGGCCTTCAGGTATGGAGAAAATGTTGAAAGCAAACCTGGAAAGTTGGAAGAAGGGAATCTTATGTCCTTAGGGTCTTTGCTATGGTGGGGAGAGTTTTGCCAGTTCCCTCTCCCAGGGCAAGGAGATAGTAGGGGGCCACAGAGAATGGATGAGGGGTCCCCAGGCTCAGACAAGTCTGTCACCCCATTCCTGTTGCAGCCAAGCAGCTGGCAACACGTGGCGGACAGTGGCAGATGGCGTGCAGCTGGAGACACACACTGTCAGCGGTCTGCAGCCCAACACCATCTATCTGTTCCTGGTACGAGCTGTGGGAGCCTGGGGCCTCAGTGAGCCCAGCCCCGTCTCTGAGCCTGTCCGCACCCAGGGTGAGTAGGGCCAGAGTCCCTGGCTCAAGGCTATGACATGAAATGCTGCAGAGCACGCCTCCCCCCAAACCACGGGAGCACAGCCACTCTCTTCTGCTGTGTCATGTCTCTACTGTGGCCCAGCCTGGAGTAGGTCAGGCCTCCCTCTCATCTAGGGACAAGAGAAGAGGGGATTACCCACAGACAACGTAGCTTATGAGGACTGGAAGGGACACTGGAGAGTTCATCTTCATGTTAGAGATGAGGAACTGAGGTCTTTAAAGGCTACATATGTGGTTATGCAGAAACTAGATTCACATTCGCTGGACACACAGGCCCACCTCTGGAAGCTATTCCCCTGACCAGCCCCCTCCTGAGGCTGGGGTGTGCTCTGGAGGACTGAGGATACAGTCGGTACAGCACACTTTCAGTCTGACTCTATCCTTGGTGGCCCTTGCTGAGTGGGCTTTTTGGTCAATAGACAGCAACCCATCCAGGCCAGTGGAGGACCCATGGAGAGGCCAGAGGGGACTGGCTGAAGTGGCCGTGCGTATGCAGGAGCCCATAGTCCTTGGGCCCCGGACCTTGCAGGTGTCCTGGACTGTGAGTGTGGCATGGGGACGAGGTTAAGGGCAGGGACGATGATGGGGGTGGTAGAGATCTCCAAGAATGGGTACGGGAAAGTGGGAAGTGAGTGGCTGGGAAAGACAGGTAAGTGGAGGAGGGACAGGACCTGGAGGACTTGTGTGGTCCTTACTTCTCCTTCTGGTATGCTTTGTCCTGTCTCCTGTAGGTAGATGGCCCAGTCCAGCTGGTGCAAGGTTTCCGAGTGTCTTGGAAGGTAGCAGGCCCTGATGGGGGACACTGGACAGTACTGGACCTACAGTCCCCAAGCCAGCAAAGTACTGTGCTAAGTGGACTCCCCCCAGGGACCCAAATTCAGATCAAGGTGCAAGCCCAAGGCCAAGAGGGGCTGGGGCCTGAAAGTCCCTTCATGACCAGAAGCATTCCTGAGGAGGGTAAGGGAGGTGGTGCACAGAGCTGACGAATAGACAACAGGAAAGAGGGAGTGGGGGAGGATAAAGGTTTGCAGGGGGAGAGCAAGGGGAGTTGTGGAAAGAAAAGATACCTTCCTTCCCTAAGATGTCAACCTGGGAGGGGGCAGGTTGGGGCAGGAAGGGTAGCTGGCATGACTGTGTCTTTCTCACCATGCTCTACCCTGGCCCAGCCCCCAGTGGTCCCCCCCAGGGAGTGACAGTAGCCCTGGGGGGTGAAGGCAACAGCAGTGTCACAGTGTCCTGGGAACCTCCACTCCCTTCCCAGCAAAATGGGATCATCAAGGAATACCAGGTACAGGGTTTGAGAAGGGACTGGGGAGGGGAGGGAGAGGGAGGACCTAGGGGCTAGCATTAGGGAGGAGGAAACCCAGGACTGGCTTTGGGGTTGGAGATGAGGTTGGGGGAAAGGAGAGAGGTTTCAAGAGTATCCCTCCAGACTGAACGATGCCTGGCTAAGCCCCGTCTACCATTCAGAGCTTCAAGTTTCCACGTGAGGCCAGGATCCCATTGCAGACTCTCTGAACCCGGGTCTCCTCTCCCCAGATATGGTGCCTGGGCAATGAGAGTCGCTTCCACCTCAACCGGTCTGCGGCAGGCTGGGCACGCTCCGCGGTGCTCCGGGGACTGCTGCCCGGTGTTCTCTACCGGACCCAGGTCGCGGCGGCCACCAGCGTGGGCGTAGGCGTGGCCAGTGCCCCGGTGTCAGTGCAACTGCGTGAGTCCGGGGGTGGGAGTGGGAATGGGAGTGGGGGTGGGGGTGGGCGCGCTGGGGAACTGAAGTGGGGTCCTAGTGTAACCGTGCCTGCGGGGTCAGGGATGACCCCTTCCTCGCTCCCGGGTTTCCAGGCCCCTAGTCCCCTCACCTCTCTGACCCCTACAGCTTCCCCGCCGGGATTGGAGCCTGGGCTTGAGGTGGGCCCGGGGCTGGCGGAGCGGCTGGCGAGGGTGCTGCGGGAGCCTGCCTTCCTCGCGGGCAGCGGCGCCGCGTGCGGGGCGCTGCTCCTCGGGCTCTGCGGCGTCCTCTACCGGCGCCGGAGGCAGCGCAAGGAGCTCAGTCACTACACGGGTGAGCGGGACCTGGGGGGGCCTGCGCGGGCCGAGGGGCGCACTTGGGCTTTGGGAAGACCGAGAGGAGCGCCTTGGAGTGGGCGGAGCCTGGAGGGAGGGAGGCGGGCGGAACCGAGAGCGGGACGGGAGGGGCTCACGGCTCGGTGAGTGGGGGGGCGGGGGAGTCAGAAGGAAGGGGTCGCACCACAGCTCAGCCCCTTGCAGAGGGGCGGGGTAGGCAAAGATGGGGCAGGGAGCCGACGGGACTGGGGGAACGGCGGGGTCCGTACCTGAATCTGGGGACAGGGGTAAAATTTCCCCCTGAGATGCCTCGATAAGACAGCGGGCTTTGCCATCCGTCTCTGTATAGAAGGGGCAATTCTGGAGAGGGGGAAAACTCACTTCCTGAAAGGCGGGGCCTAGCAGCAGGTGGGTGGCCAGGACACTGGACGTTAAATTGTGGGGCGGGATCTGGGTGGAAAGGTGGGGCCCGCTGAGAGGGGCGACTTGATTTCTGCTACTCCCCCATAAGGGGCGTGTCTGGAGAGATTCAGAGGTCTCTGAGATCAGCCCCCCCCCCCCCCATCTTGGCTACACATAAGAATCACTTGGAAACTTTAGAAAAATACTGATGCTTGAGTCCCACTCCTAGAAATTCTGATGAAATTGGTCCAGGGTACAGGTTGAGTGGTGGAATTGGGACCGGGGCCAAGAAGGGGACAAGAATGTGAGTATTTCTGACCCTTTCTCCATTTACCCTCCTCTTTCTCCCATGGATTCGTTTTCGGAAGCTTCCTTTGCCTACACACCTGCAGGTAAGATATCTCTGCTCCAGTGGGGTTCAGACCCCAAGTACGGGCCCTTCTCTCACTCAGTGTCCCCCTCATCTTCCCCAGTGTCCTTCCCACACTCAGAGGGCCTCTCTGGAGCCAGTTCCAGGTAATCCTCTTAATTCATCTCTCAAGGATAATCCCCTCCATCAAGAGACTATTCTCCTTCCTCCCCAGGCCTCAGTGCCTCCCCACGCTGCCTACCACCTGTCACCCCCAAACTCTCCATCACTGCCCTAGGACTCCTGGTTACTCTTACATTCGCTGGCCTGTTCGGGCTCTCAGTCCCCAGCGTTCACGTGCTTTCCCTCAGGCCACCCATGGGCCTTGGCCCCGCCCCCTACCCATGGCTAGCAGACTCGTGGCCCCACCCATCATCTCGAAGCCCCTCAGCCCCGGAGCCCAGGGGAAGCTGCTGCCCCAGCAATCCTGACCCAGATGACAGATATTACAATGGTGAGGAGTTCTAATTCTCTCAGGGGCACACCTGGCCCCCAACACCCTTCTCTCCTCTCAACCTACTGGGGCAAACTGAAGGGAGCCGAGGATTGCCAGTCTTCCTGAGGTTGGTCAGTCCTTCGGGAGGATATGAGTTGGGGGAGCCTCTCTCATGCCTAACCTTCACCCCGGTTTGGAAGTAAGGTTTGGGAAGGGGGAGAAGTTGGTCCGGTGGGATCTCCTTTTGCCCTCCATTCTCCTGTTGTCCGCTATTTTTCTGTCTCTGCCCCCTGCCCCTTGCCTCCCCCCCTGGCCTCCCTCTTTCTCCTCCTCAGAAGCAGGAATCTCCCTGTACCTGGCTCAGACGGCCCGGGGTCCTGCCGCCCCGACTGAGGGTCCTGTCTACAGCACCATTGACCCAGCTGGGGAGGAGCTGCAGACCTTCCACGGGGGATTCCCCCCAAATCCCTCAGGGGATCCAGGCACCTGGAGCCAGTACGCTCCTCCAGAATGGAGCCAGGGGAACAGTGGTATGACTGTGGTTCCAAATACCCCCCCCCCTTTTAGCTCTGAGCAGAGGATCCCCAAAGAATATCCTCTACCGTTCCCCTCTGGGACCTAGCCCAGCACTTTCTTCTGACATTCTCATCTGCCTCCTATCTTGGTGTGTCCCCATCCTACCCTCCTCAGGAGCCAGGGGAGGCAAAGCAAAGCTTCTGGGAAAACCTGTGCAGATGCCCTCTCTCAACTGGCCAGAAGCCCTGCCACCACCTCCCCCTTCCTGTGAACTGAGCTGCCTCGAAGGGCCTGAGGAGGAGCTGGAGGGCGGGTAAGGATGTGCCCTGCTGCGGCTGCCCTATACAGATGGGACTGCAGGGCCTCCTGCAGGGGGAGGGCAGAGGTGCTGGGAGAGGAAGGGAAGAGGGCAACTGGAAGGCCAAGGGGAAGGTATGGAAGCTACTCAGTCACCCCTGTTTGCCCCCAGCTCAGAGCCAGAAGAGTGGTGTCCACCAATGCCTGAGAGGAGCCACCTGGCAGAGCCCAGCTCCAGTGGAGGGTGCTTGGTCCCTCCGTCCCAAGGGGAAGCCCCCTCTCCCACATCTTCCTATGGACAGCAGTCCACAGCCACTCTTACCCCCTCACCTCCTGACCCTCCCCAGCCCCCCACTGACATCCCCCATCTCCACCAGATGCCCAGGTAGGGAGGTATATGATGCCTTGCACATTATAGGCCCTGGGTACATATCTATGGAGTGGATGACTGGATGGATAGATGAATGGATGGATGGATGGATGGATGGATGAATCTGGGACGCAGAGGTCTCATGGCCACGTCACAGTAGAAGTGTGATTTGGGAAGGAACGTGGAGGCTGACAAGGTCTCTCACTCCCTTCAGACTGTTTCTCCATTGGACTGGTTCTGCAAGCTTCTCAGGCATTTCAAAGACATGGCTCTCCTCATACTTCACTAGCTGGGGAGCCTTGTTGGGGGCAGGCTGTGCCTTTTTCGTCTGAGTGTCTAGCACATGGTAGGCACTTAGCGTTTGTCACGTGAACAAATGCTGAGGCCTCATGTCATTGCAGGAGGGTGCCCCTTGGTCCAAGTTCCCCTCTCAGTGTATCCCAGCCCACTCTGAGTAGCCATGAAGGGAGGCCTGCTGGCCTGGGTGCTGGACCCACAGCCTCCTATCACCTCAGCCCCAGCCCTGTCCCGAGTACAGCCAGCAGTGCCCCAGGTGAGTCTGCAGAAGCCTTAACCTGCTCCTACTTCTCCATACCCTTCGGAAGCTTCTTTCTTCTTCATCCTCAAGCCTGTTTCCTGATCCTCTGTCTCACCTGCTCTTCCTGTACCCTAATGCTACAGGGAGAACCCGGCAGGTCCCTGGGGAGATGACTCCTCCACTTCAAGCGCCCCGTGCCCGAATCCGGAAACCCAAGGCTGTTCCCTACCGACGGGAGCACAGTCCTGGGGGTGAGGGTGCCAGGGGCCTGAGAGATGGTGAAAGGAGGGGGAACAGGCAGGAAACCAAGGGTGAGCTCTGCTTGGGGGGGGGTGGTGCTGGAGGAGGAAGCAGGTGCACCCAAATCTTGGGCTGTTCAGTCGCAGCCTCCTGGTGCCAGGGAGTAGGAGTGGGAGGAGGACTGGTATCAGGAGGAGCGGGAGACTCTGCTGAAAACAGGTCTCTCCCCAGACTTGCCCCCGCCGCCCTTGCCGCCACCAGAGGAAGAGGCAAGCTGGGCCGTAGGGCTGAGGGCAGCAGGCAGCATGTCCTCCTTGGAACGGGAACAGGAACGCAGTGGAGAGAGGAGAATGGTGCAGGCCGGGCCCTTGGGGGCCCAGCGGGGTCCCCACCTGGATGGTAAGGAGGGCCAGGAAAGGCCAGAAGGTCATCCCTACCCAAGAAGGTGGGACTGGCGGCTAGTGTAGTACAGCCATGAAGGACTAATGTTCACCCAGCTCACCCCTCGTCTTCAGCGGGGTTCATGCACTTGATCAAATCCTACACATGTCTCTGTAGCTCTCTCTGGGAAAGATCCCCAGAAGTTGCCAAGTTGTATAGTTTCCCAGGACTGAAGCCCAGAAGAGGCAAGAATGGGGCTCCGTGTTCTGTCCCTCCTTTCCCAAGGCTTCCTCTGCCCGGGAGCTCCCTCTGGGTGTCTGAGCAGGTGCTACGTCAAGGCCATGTGCTGGGTGTTCTATGTCTCCTCAGCCCCCAGAAGGGCCTGGGCCCTATGCCTGCCCTACACCCTCCTTCCAGATCTGGGATTGCAGTCAAGGTGGCACAGTGGGCAAACAGTGACCTTCTGCTCTCTGCACGGGGCCTGGTGGCCCTTCTCTCTTGTGCTGCAGAAGAGGCCTGGCTCCCTTACAGCCGACCCAGCTTCCTGTCCCGGGGCCAGGGCACCAGCACCTGTTCCACAGCTGGCAGCAACTCCTCCAGAGGCTCCAGCAGCTCCCGAGGCTCCCGGGGCCCTGGACGGAGCCGGAGCCGGAGCCGGAGCCAAAGACCAGGACGGAAACGCGGAGAGGTGGGGGCTGGGGTAGGCAAACTATGGGAGACGAGAAGACGAGGAGGGGCGAGCCAAGGGATGATTGGAAACAGGAAAGGAGAGAAGGGCTTTGTGAGCAAGTGTCAAAAAGGAGGGGACCCAGTGGGTGAGGGGGAAGGGAGGGATCCTGGAGAACAGGTGACAAAGGGTGAGGACAAGGTGATATGTGGAGGAGCCTGGGCTCCCCAGAGGAGAGTGGGTTCAGGAGGAGGGCTGAGGAGAAAAGAGGCACGTCCCCCCCTATAGCCTGTTTGCCAGGGCCTAGGGCCTTGCAAACTAGCCTCTTTCTCTCTCTAGGAACCAAAATGACCCTGGATGAGGATATCAGGAGTTCCACGGGGAAGGGCTTGTCCCTGGGCCGGGAGCCTTGGATGGGAGCCCCTCCCCCTGGTAAATGGGTGTGAGCAGAGAGGAGCAGGGGGGGCCCTCTTCCCTCCCAGCAATGATGCTTAAAAGCCAGAGAGCCAGCTCTTCCTACCTGAAACTTTCCACCTCTTTCTACCTGAAACTCATGTGTAAAAGGGACAAATAAAAAGAGTCTGTTCAGAGCTCTGGGCCCTGCTTGTCTGGTTTCATGCGGGGCATGGGGAAGAAAGACTGCGAGACAGTGTAGACCAAGGCACTCGCTTGAAACTCTTCTGTCAAAAGCACCAGCTGAGGACAGGGGCTAAGAGATGCTGGCCTGGCCTGCCTCCTGAAGGAGCTGAAACTTGTCCCACCTTCAGATAACTAAGCCAGGCTCTCCCTTGGCGCCCTCCTCTGTGGCCTATCTCCTCTCTAGGGGGAAATATGCCCCTAACAATAATAATACAAAAAAAGGAATTGGGGTACCTTGGTGGCTCAGTCGGTTAGGCGTCCAACTTTGGGTCAGGTCATGATCTCATGGTTCGTGGGTTCGAGTCCTGCATCAGGCTCTGTGCTGATAGCTTAAAGCCTGAAGCCCGCTTCAGATTCTGTGTCTCCCTCTCTATCTGCCCCTCCCCCACTCACACTCTGTCACTCTCTCAAAAATAAATAAACATTAAAAAAATTTTAAAAAAATAATAGAAAGGAGTTGATGGGGGAAACCCCAGCCAAGAAGGGAAAACAGGCTTTTGTCAGGCTCCCTGACCCTGGATGTGTGCAAACAGATACCTCCTGGCCAGGCGAGACCCCAATGTGATGGGTTTGGCTGACACAGGATTTTTTAAAATATTGGCCCCGAATGCCATAGTGACCATTGCTCCCCCACCCACAGCCCATGCCACTCACTGGTTTTCTGTGGTTTGTTTCCTTCTCATTTTTTCACCCCCAGGCTCAGGAACTGCTCTGGGCTCTCAGGGGATGGCCACTACTCCCCACCCCCACCCCAAGCCCAGGCCTCTGACCTCTCCTGCCACTTTGACCTAAGTGTGCACAAATCCCTTTTTCTCCTTTGGTCTGGCAAACAGGGTTGGAATGTTTTCAAAAGGAATTTTACCAGGAAACTAAAAGAAAAACAAAATCCAAAAAAGGAAAAGCAAATAGAGAGGAACAGATATGTATCCGGAGCACTGATTTCTCATCCTGAGATTATGACATTCCAGACCAGACTGGCCGGTTGAAGGTAGTTCAGGCAGCACCGTGTCCCCCAGGCCCGGCCTCACGCAGCCTCTGAGTTCAGAGTGGCCTCCAGGTAGAGCTGCCTTGGTTTCGGGGGGGGGGGATTATCACCCCCTTCCAGGGCCTGCTTCCTGATCAGCCCTCCCTAAAGATGTCCTCTGGTGGCCCTGGTCACATGCAGGAGCACCATCCCCTGCAGCTTGTGTGTGTCCTGCCCCTGCCTTTCCCACCAAATTAGAAAAGGTCAGCCCCCACCTGCCCCGCTTTCTGTGTCTCAGGCTTGTCAGTCCTGCTCCATTTCTCTGTGCTGTTGTTTTGTCTGAAGGGTGCTCACCAGGCAACCATTATAGGTGGTCCTACCTTTTGTGGAATCTAGCTACTTTGTCTATTTTAAGAAAACACCTGTTCTTAACCATCCGGGACTGGTCTCTGGGGAGCGGGGCACGGGGACCGCTGAAAACAGGAGTGTCTTCCCAGGACCAGTTGCTACGACCAGCAGACTGGGAAAATCTGATGGACGCGTGTAATTCTTCCCTCAATTGCAGAACAGAAATAAGTGACACGCCCTGAGTGCCAACGAATGCTCAGTTCCGCCCCAACTGAGAGAATTCTTCCCATACCTCCAGGTACCCTCCCCAGAATGGTGCTCTGGGGGATGATCTCAATAAACTCAAGTCATTTCAGTTTAATGGTATCAATTTCTTAAGCTCATAGAGTCCACAGTATGAAGAGGGTGTTGGCCCCACATTTCCCCACCACCCTTCCTTTGGCTCCCTCCCTAGGTCCATTCTCGACCCTCTGCCTTGGAAACAAGGTTGGTCCTCACTGGGTGTTCCTCCATCCTTCCTTTACGGGTGTGGCTGGGGAGAAGTGAGCCTGCCTACGTAGGAAAGGTGCCTTCCTGAGGGGCATGGCTCCATAAAGCTCCTTCCCTAACCAGCCTGTCCCACAAGATGCTGTTGTCGTCTGGGAAGATCTCTGGTTCTTCCACTTCTGGTGATGCAAGTGGGGGGGGTGGGGAGATCAGGAGGTAAGCCTGCTTCTCAGGCCACAACAAGACCCGGTTTGGGATGGATGGAGCAGAGGAGGAAGCAAGGGGTAGGAGTCAGGCCGAGATGACTTTTTGCTCACTGGGGCCTCCAGGTCTGCTTTGCTCTTATTTTGTTTTGCTTTCATTTGTTCTCACAATCCCAGAAGGAGAACTGTCCTGGTGGCAAGGCAAGGTGGTCCCCCAGCTGCAGAGAATACAGGCCAAGACTGACACTCCTCAGCGGGGTGGTTTTGATTCTCCTCTTGGCCGTCTCCTGTCTCAGGTACACTTCATGAGGAGCCTGCAGGGAAGTTGAAGGAGAATGGAGTTACCCTCCTTAATCTCACCTCTCCAACCCCAGGGGTTCCCTCTTGGCTCCTCCCCAGAATCCCTCCATCAAGAGTATGGCAGACAGGCACTTACTGCCGGCCTTGGGCTCAGGACGGCTGAGCTGACTTCTTCCGGAAGAGATCCGAGAGTCGGGGGGCCAGGGAGGCAGCCCCCTTCCCAGCCGCTGGCTGTGGTTGTTCTCCATGTCCTCCAACCAGTCTGACCTCCACTCCCACAGGGGCAGGGAGAGGGTGGAGGTCAGGAAGAGGTCATCCCGGGGGGAGGGAGGTGAGGAGGCATCTGTCAGGGAGGGTAGATTTGTTTGTGGAGGGCTGGCCTTCACTCTGAGGGACCAATTTAGGGCAGAACACTTAGGACCTGCTTAAGGCATACATCCAACCCAGAAGATAACCTAGCCCCAACTCGGCCCATCAATTCTGGGGGCCACTGGAATGAGTCCATTGGTTTCTTAGGGAGAATAGCTTGAACTGTTTCCTCCTAGCCCACCTCTGGCCTTCTTTTTATTTTTTTATTTATTTGAGAGAGACAGGCAGTGTGAGTGGGGGGAGGGGCAGAGGGAGAGGGAGACAGAATCCCAAGCAGGCTCCACACTGTTGGTGTGGAAACCATGAGATCACGACCAGAGCCAAAACCAAGAGTCAGACACTTAACTGACTGAACCACCCAGGTGCCCCCCAGCTCTGGCCCTCTATCCATACTCTTTCCCTTCACCCTTCCTCTCCCCGGGCACCTTTCTTCTCCCTCTGTTGTGGGCACCTCTACCCTGGATAATCCTTGCTTTCTCGTTTACTACAAGCCTGGTTGTTTTTATTGGGGTTCATAAGATGGCGATAGGGGATCTGACAGAGTGTATGAGGAAGGGGCATGGGGAGCCCTGAGCTACCTTCTGTTGCCTTGGAGATAATGGTCCCACTCTGGTAGACATGTGAAGGAGTGAGCCCATCTTCTCTTTACCCCAGCCACAGACAGGACAAGAGGAGGGCTTGCAAGCACAGTGGGAAATAAGAGAGAAAACAGAAGTTCCCATCATGAGGAGAATCTGGAACAGGGGGTTGGAGTAAATAGTAAATAGAAGAGGTGGGGAGCAATCTTTCCTGGTGATCGGTGTCTGGGTAAGACGAGGGACCTGGGGGGAGGGCAATACAACTGGCTGCCTCTGGGCTTTAGACTTGAACATTTTGTCCTTGTTCTTGTGGGCAACCTTGGGCAAGTTAAAAAACCTGTTTGACTTACAGTTCCCTCATTTGGAAGAGAAAGATAAAGAATATTTTTCATAGAGTTTTAATATTGAATGTATATAAAGCACTTATCACAGGGCCTGGGGCATAGTAATCATTCAATAAAAGCTGGCTGTTTTAAGGATAACCACAAAGACAATGATTGGGGGCGCCCGGGTGGCTCAGTCGGTTTAGCGTCCACCTCTTAATTTTGGCTCAAGTCATGGTCTCACGGTCGTTAGATCCAGCCCCACATCAGGCTCTGTGCTGACAGCACTGAGCCTGCTTGGACTTCTTTCTCTCCCTTTCTCTCTGCCCCTCCCCCTGCTCACGAGGGCTCTCTCTCTCTCTCTCTCTCTCTCAAAATAAAGAAACAAACTTAAAAAAAAACCAACAAAGACAATGATTAGGAAGCCTTGCCTCTTGGTTGGGGAAAAGGAGGGAGGGGTTCTTATGGGATCTGAGTTCATTCCAAGGGGTGGGGTGAGGAGGAGGGCAGGGTGGTCTCACATACCCATGAAGACGCAGTCAGCCTCCCTGGGCTCCAGACCAAAGCCAAAGCTGTCCACAGCCATTGCCAGGGCCCGGGCAAAGTGGGCGTCCGCAAGGAAGGAGCCGTCAGAGGAGCTGACAAGGCTGGCTCTGGCGCTGGGGGCGTTGTCCTCGGAGGCTGAGCCCCAGCCGTTGGCCAAGGAGCCCTCGCTGGGGGTGGGGGTGGGGCAGGGCCGGGGTGGGCACAGCAAGCCCCTCACTTCGGACCCCACCCCTCCTCCGGCCCTGCCCACGTCCGCCAGCTCTGAGGCTGTCGGGATGCTGATGTAGCCGTAGGTGACAGGGGGTGAAGGAGCCCTTGGCATAGGAGAGACACTATTCCTAGAAAAGGCAAAATGGGACACAGTGCTATGGTTGAGGTGGGCCTACTGGCACAGCAGAGACATTCCAGTTGAGATAAGCATACCCCTGTGGTGTGCGTATCTGCAGTCCTTTGGTCATCCCTCAGACAACTCACCTGGGGGTCTCCTCACCGTCACTGAGCTCCAGGCACAGGGCCACCTCCTCAGGAGTCAGTACACTGTCCTGATCCTCCCCCAGGGATGACAGCGAGGAGCTGGACAGACGACTGGAAGGTGGACTGGGGCCAGAGAGGGAAGAGGCCTGGGGGCTGGAGGGACTGGGGGGACTGGAGGGGACAGGGATGGGGAGGGGGGCGGCTGGCAGTGGGAGGGAGGAGGGAGCTTGGGGCTCTGCTGAGGGCCTGATGGGGGTAAGAGAGTGATGACAGGGTCATTACTGCAGCCCCTGTCCACCCCTCCCCCAGCCCCTGTTCAAGCACAGCAAAGACCCCTCACACCCCAGTCCCCCACCCCTG